TAAAGTCAGGGTAGAACAAAGACCCTGGTGCACGGTACCGCAGCCGGCACTCCACCTCTTGCAGAAGTTGCAAGGGGACGGGGCTGTGTAGCGGCGATAGTTGGGGATATAGCGGTCGTGGCCGCTTATTTCACGCCGAACCGAAACCTAACTGAGTACGAGCAATGGCTCGCTCAGCTGGCCGTCGTCGTCGATGCCTGTCGCCCCCACCCGGTTCTTGTGCTGGGGGACTTCAACGCCTGGCCGTAGGCTTAGGGTTCCCTGCGCACAAACCCGAGGGGCAGGGCATTGGAGAACTGGGCTGAAAGATTCGGCCCAGTTCTCCTAAACCGGGGGGCCGTGGCCACGTTCGTGACGGCGAGGGGTAGTTCGATCGTGGACATCTCGTTCGCATGCCCCTCGCTAGCGCGTCGTGTCCAAGGCTGGCGCGTCGTTGTCGGGGAGGAGACAGGTTCGGATCACCGATATATTCGGTTTGACGTCTCCGCCCCTACAGATGGCGCGCCGGTCAGACCGGCACCACCTGAACCACGTTGGGCGCTCAAGCGCTTAGATCGCGACCTCCTCCTGGAAGCCGCCATCGTACAGGCATGGGCTCCTGCGCCGGACAGGCCTGTCGACGTCGATGCTGAGGCACAGTGGTTCCGGGAGGCCATGACCCGCGTCTGCGATGCAGCGATGCCTAGGGCTCAGCCCCATACTGCGAGGCGCCAGGTCTACTGGTGGTCGCTGGAGATCGCACGGCTGCGTCAAGCCTGCGTGACCGCGCGCCGCCAGTGGTCCAGGTTCCGCAGGAGGCGTCGCCGCCCCGAAGATGCGGCAGCGAGAGAGGCGGAGCTGTTAGCGGGTTACAGGGTTGCCAAGAGGACCCTTCAGGCAGCGATAAAGCGGGCCAAGAGCGAGGCCCGCCGCGAGATGCCGGAGACACTGGAGCGGGATCCGTGGGGACGCCCCTACCGTATGGTTAGGGGCAAGATGCGCCCATGGGCCCCGCCGCTCACACGGTGTCTTCAGCCAGAGCTGCTTGAGAGGGTCGTTGGCTCCCTGTTCCCAACGCGAGTGGTGGAGCATACTCCGCCACAGATGGCTCCGCCTCCGGTGCTTGAGGCGCCTAACGTAGATGACGACGACGTGCCTGAGGTCACTGGGGTGGAACTAAGGGTGGCGGTGTTACGGCTTAAAGCTAAAAACACCGCCCCGGGACCCGATGTCATTCCTGGCCGAGCGTGGGTCCTGGCCTTAGTCGACGAGGCTCTCGAGCCCCGACTGCGAGGGTTCTTCAGCGCATGCCTCGATTGGGGCCAGTTTCCAAAATTGTGGAAGACGGGGAAACTGGTCCTCATCCGAAAGGAGGGGCGCCCGGCGGACTCACCGTCCGCCTACCGGCCCATAGTGTTGCTTGACGAGGTGTGCAAGCTCTTTGAAAGAGTGATTGCAAGGCGCCTCGTCAAGCATCTCGTGATGGTTGGGCCGGATCTGGCGGACGGCCAGTACGGTTTCCGTCAGGGGCGCTCCACCGTAGATGCGATCATGCGCGTAAAGGCTCTGGCGGAGGAAGCAGTCTCCCGGGGCGAAGTGCTGTTGGCGGTGTCCTTGGACATCGCCAACGCGTTCAACACTATGCCCTGGAGCTGCATCAGGGAGGCGCTCGTGTATCACGAAGTACCTCTCTACCTCCGCCGCATAGTCGGGGCATATTTGTCGGAGAGAGCCGTCGTCTACCCCAGTAGGACCGGTCTCGGTAGGCGTGAAAAATCGTGCGGTGTTCCGCAGGGGTCGGTGTTAGGGCCACTCTTGTGGAACATCGGCTACGACTGGGTGCTTCGTGGTGCCTTCTTGGATGGTGTCGCCGTCGTGTGCTACGCGGATGACACACTCGTGACGGCGCGCGGCAAGACGCACCACGAGGCAACCCTGAGGGCCACGGCCGGGGTTGCTCAAGTCGTTGAGCGTATCCGGCGGCTGGGTCTCGAGGTGGCTTTGCACAAGTCCGAGGCCCTGTTCTTCCACGGGCTTCGGAGGAAGCCGCCCGAGGGATCTAGCCTCACGGTAGGAGGCACTCGCATCGGCATCGAGCCCTCGATCAGGTATCTGGGGCTCGTACTCGATGGCCGATGGGACTTCGGATATCATTGCCGAGGTCTGGTCCCCAAGTTGGTTGGGGCAGCGCGTTTGTTGGCGCGGCTGCTGCCCAACATGAAGGGACCCGATGACTCCTGCAGGAGACTCTACTCGGGGATTGTGCGGTCCATGGCCCTTTACGGGTGCCCAGTATGGGCGGGGGCCCTGAAGGCCAGCAACATCGCGATACTGCGACGACCGCAGCGAGTGCTGGCCATCAGGATCATAAGGGGGTACCGCACGATCTCCTTTGAAGCGGCGAGTCTCCTGACCGGAACTCCACCGTGGGACCTGGAGGCGAGACCCTCTCATACCGATTGACGCAGGTGATCACTGGGAAGGGATGTTTCGGGGATCACCTGTGTCTGATCCGCAAAGAGCCAACGCCTGAGTGCCACCACTGCGATGGCCAGACCGTGGACACGGCTCTCCACACGCAGAGTGGCCGAGTGCCCGGCGTGGGTTGAGCAGAGGCGAGACCTCGCCATCGGAGTGGGAGTTCTCTCGCTCGATAGCCTGATTGCGGCTATCGTCTCCTTCTGCGAGCAAGTTATGCTCGCGAAGGAGACGGCGGAGCGGGACCGGGAGAGGTTTAGGACTCTCCCGGCCCGCCAGGCCCGGAACATGGGGTTCGGTTCGAGTCCGACATGCCACCGACATGTGGTATCCGAGGGGATTTCCGCACGGAAAAAAAAAAAGAAAAGGGTAGAACAAAGAGCGCACGCAATAATTTTAAAATTTAGATAAATATAGAAATAGTTTAAAAAGAACATCCACAACAACAAAATTATAAAACAAGACAAACAAGCAAAAATATAAAAGCAATTATTGCGTGCTGCTGCCAAATATATATATATGTTCTATGACAGTTTAGAGATATATAAAAATTGTGTAAAAAGTACAACAAAATCAACAAAAGAGCAATATTATGATATAGGCATAAACAATTACTGCGTGCTGCCGCCAAATATATATAAGTAATATTACAGTTTAGAGAAACACAAATATCGTTTAGAAAGTGCAACAAGAACAACAAAAGTATGATGTAATGACGTAAACTTAAACAATTACTGCGTGCTGGTGCCAAATATCCGCGCAATGTCCGCGTCATTGCGTATGTTAACAGCCTTGTCCCCCTCTTTACTTCGCGCCAAGATGCGTCCACGTCTACACCAAACATATTTCCACCCGCGTTGTAGGCAGACGTCTCGCACCCTACGAAACAACTCTCGATTCAGCTTCGTTAGTCGCTCGTTTACATAGAATCGCCGTGGTGGACCGGTCGTACCCAAATCGGCCGTCGTGGCGCCGCGGCGAACACGCGCGTTCGATAACAACCGGTCGCGCCGCGCTAGTCGTACAACGAGTGGACGGGGCCGGGGTTCGGCCCCGTCCACTCGTTGTACGTTCTCCTCGCCCGCCTCCGGGAGATTGGCGATCTCAACATCGTCAGCCAACAACAGCTGGTCGCGATCGTTAAGCTCCTGCTTCAGTCCCTCGACAATGTCGACCAGGGACGCCTGGTCTAGAAGTTTCGGTTTCTGCTGCTCCAGGGCGCTCACCCTGCCCTCCAATTTATTAAGATGCCCGTTACAGGCATTAAGAGAAGCTCTAATCTCTGTCATCTCCTCCCTGAACACTTGAAGATCTTTGTTTAAAGAGCGTAAAGTGTCTCTAAAAATTGTGAGTTTAGAGTTAATTTCAGCCGTTATATTCTGGGTGGTCTCGGAGACATTTAGAGATGAGTTCTTGGATAGTGGCGGGCTCTGATGTATAGTTCCTAACGGTTTTTCCGAAGCATCAAGGCTATAAGACCCGGACCTCCTTACCGGCGTCTCAGGCTCATTATCAGTGGCCTGATTTTTCCTACACTCGGGGCACTGCCAAGATGTGCTAATAGTACCCGAGGTAGGCAGCGCCACACATCGCCGGTGGTAGTAAGCGATACACTTCTGACACCTAGCGGCGTCTGTCAGCGACAAGAAGCGAGCGCAACCACCGCACTTAGTCATAATCAAGAGGTATTGGATTTATAGTTCGTTGGCTTACGCTAGATGGCGATCGCTTAAATATTTTTATTGATTACTAGCTGACCCGGCGAACTTTGTTCCGCCTTAGAGGCAATAAATGAGCAGATTTTGGATTTCATTATATTTTTATTTTATCATATTTGTAATTACAACATCATATAGGTCTGGTTCGGCTTCGTGATCGGGAATCTCGGCACATATGATATCATATTTTGGTCTGATTGAATTCTTTCCAGTAACTAAATAAGAATGTGTGAGTGCGGCAGGCCTCGTTTTTGCCATTCGATTGAATACATCCAGCATCGAGTATCTCCAAAGACACGTTGTTTAACAATGTAGTTCATCAGGGACCGCATTTTTTGCCTGAATACACGTGCTGTGATGTCGTGTCGATCACTTGATGTTTGTCCAGGAAAGCAGCAGCAGGGAAGCAGCAATTGAACAATTTCTATAAACTTAACTCACTCCGTTTCTATTTTGACGTACATTTCGACACAATACTGAAGCAATCGACGAAACTGCAGAAAACAGCCTGACCAACGCATGATGTTCATGAAGTAATTGCTGCAGATCTTGAAGAATTGCTCGTTTCATTGCCGCATTGATCTCTTGACGTCGATCAAGTTGTTTCTCCATGTTGCCCAATGATATTTCAAATATAAAAAAAGGATGTTGCCCATGAAGTATATTTGTAAAAATTTATGCTGTGCATCTTGGAGAGATTGCAATGATCCAATTCGATGGTGAATCTGTCCTTGTATCTATAAAATCAAAAGCAAAGTCAGTATTACTGATTTATAAACACTTTTTTTAGAATTAGCATACATAATACATAGGAATAAGTATAGTATGTTATTCTTCTACTGTATTGTGTGTAAGTACAAAAATAAATAAATACTTTGAATGTCCTCTATATGTCTGCCTAAACTATTGTATTTTTGAGTGTTTGCTAGTAAATGTCTCTGTCTGTAGAAACTCGAAACAAACACATCAAACGGTCAACTTTAAAATTTCAAATTGTCAAATTAACGGTCAGTTGCGTTTTGTTATTCCATGTCAGTTGCGTTTTGTTATACCATTTTTAACAAATGAACGGCTAGACTGATGTTTTGACTAATAAATTTTTCCACGTTCCACGGGAACGGGATAAAAAGTATCCTATGTCCGTCTCCTGGTTTTAAGCTACCTCCCCACCAATTTTCAGCGAAATCGGTTCAGCCGTTCTTGGGTTATAAATAGTGTAACTAACACGACTTTCTTTTATATATATAGATTGTTTTTACGGCGTTATGGGGCACTTAATCGTAAAGTAATGCATTAACGATACCGGTACGGGAGCGCACACACTTTCCCAAGGTTACTTGTAAGTTTCCCTACCACTATGTACATATGCCAAGTGATAGGGTAGGTGATTTGCGTAATGTACAGGCACAGATTTTATTTGCTTGTTATTTTATATTTAATTCACAGCAACACTCGCGAACACTTACGACAATGTATGACACTGTAATACGTATATTGATAATAAACTTTGACGATTTAAACTGATTTTCAATATTTATAACTCACGATAACACAGATGCCTTCCTTTTCCCTTTTCTTCCCTTTTTCCCCTTTTTTTCTTTTCCCTTTTCTTTAAAATACAGCATGTTAGTTGAAAAGTATTACCGATTCTTGGGGTATTTCAGATAAAATCAATTTAGCTGTTTCTGTTAACGCGGCTTACATTAAGAAAGCCTTATCACAGGAGCTGGGGTGGAAACATTTCGGATGTGTAGCACACACAATAAATTTGATAGTGCAAGAAGCGACTGAAAAATCTGTACCCGTCAAATCTGTAATTAAACGTGTAAAGCTTATCGTCGCTTATTTCAAGCGAAGCACTAAAGCCGCTCAAAAACTCGATGAGTTTCAAAAGCAGAATGCACAGCCCAAACGACTACTTCAAGAAGTCCCGACGAGGTGGAATTCCACATATTACATGCTCGAACGGATAATAGAAATTCAAGATGCCGTCAAGTCATCCATTGCCATTTTGGGTGTTACAAGCTTGCCAAATATTACGCCGGAAGACTGGTTACTTTGCAACGAAACTTGTAAAGCCCTGAAATGTTTCGAAGAAGCATCAAATTACCTGAGTGGTGAAAAGTATTTGACGGCCAGTCAACTATTAATAATAATAAAAGGCATAAAGAGAGTTCTCGGCGATATTTTAATCTCGGATTCTTCAGGTTATCACTATCTACCAATAACTTATCATTTTGTTCGAGATTTGTTAGATTTGACCCATAGTCGTTCCGAAAATATAGGAAATAGTAACACGATTGGGGTAGCAACTTTTTTAGATCCCCGCTTTAAATTACAGCCCTTTACATCTGCAAAGCAAGCAACTTTAAGGGAAAGCATGATCAAACTTGTCGCCCAAGAAATAAATCGAGAAGGACCATGCGAAAATATTGAAGTTAGCACCAAAAGTTCTCTCGATCCCACCTCAATATTTTACGACTGGGATGCTAGGGAGGCTGTACCGCAATCAATTGAGTCTCCAACTGCACGAGCAATAATAGAAATCGACAAATATTTAAATGAAAAAGTGATTAGTCGCAGTAATTTACCGTTGAGCTGGTGGAAGCAGAACCAAGGCATTTTTCCACATTTGGCTAAGTTGTTTCGAAGCAAATGCAATGTACTTTGTACTTCTGTTTCTTGCGAAAGACTTTTTTCTCGAACTGGTTACATAATTTCGCAACGAAGAACTCGACTTGGAGTCCGAAAAGTCAAACAATTAACATTTTTAAATGGCAATAAAAAATATATAAAATTTTAAGAAAAGTAATGTTACCAAGTGTTATGTAGATATAAGAAAAAAAGAAAAAAAAGAAAAAAAAAAATTTTATAAAAAAAAGAAATCGTTGTAAATATGTAAATTGATTCTCATATTAAATACGTATACAGAAAAACTTGACAGTCCTAAAAGTATGAAGGCCTGTGAAAAGTTTGAAGGAAATGAGAATTAATTAGGTTAACAATCTGTCTGTGATAAAATTTAACAGCTGCTAAAAATAACTGCTAATTTTGAGTGTTAATTATTGTTAGCATTAGCATTGAGCAGTGGTATTTAAGCCCATCTCTGTACTCTGTACGTGACATGATAAAATGGCAAACCTCACTGAAGAGACGTCAAAAATCCTTGGCTTAAAGGTCTTGTTACCAAGCCATAAAAATACAAAAAAAAAAAAAATGCGTCTAAAATCCATCATCTAACATGGCCGCTATGAGCTGACAAAACCATTTCATCCCTATTGGTAGACCCAGTACATACAAACAGCCATTAACCAAAAGTTGAAGTTGACCCAGTACATCTTAAGATCTTGTTTCATATTGATTTCCTTGTGTAAGTAAATCAAATAAATATTAATAAGATTGCCTTGCATAGCAAGTATTGACAGAGAACATTTTATGAACTTGTATTGCAGCAAGGGCACTGTGTCTGTTTACGACCATTGTCTCACGAGTCGCTTCAATAAATTTTTATTACTTCATTGTGTTCATTTTTAATCAGTGGTCGTGTGTGACTATGGAAAAACAAAATGCTCCCTTGTTTCCCTATGAATTTGAATGTATAAAACCAGAAGAACAGGAATACTTGAACAAGATGTACACAAGTAAGTAATAATTGATCATTGCAAATAAATATTGAGGCGTAATAATTCATCTTCGCCATCATCGTAACATCATCCTCATACACGTATTGCACGTAATTGCAAATCTATAACGATTTGTGTTTTTTTTATAGGGACTCCATTATTTGATCTTGGCTCAATATTTGGTGAAGGAAAGCTTATCTACGGACGATGGATCAGGGACATACTTGGCCACGGGAACTACCTATTTAATGTTCATCACACTAATTATAATTATAACTTAGCATCCTGAATCGGGCAAAACAAAATCTTATAAAAGCAGATAAGCTGCTCAGAAAGGGCATTGTGTAAAGTGATAAATATTTATATAGAGAGAGAAGTATTTAATAACAGCATACTCAGGGATATATTGAAGTATGAACATTGATGCACATTGAAGTCGGTTATATTATTTAAATACATTGTTTATTTATTTATAATTTTTACGCATATGTTTGCCATTGAGGAAAAGGCCCACATTTACAGATTTGTTTTGCAGATTTGCAAAACGACATAACGGAAAGATTCTTCTGTTAAACATATAAAGATTATTGAAATGAACTATTAATTTACTTAAACATGTACAGCAACTGTTTTTAATGCATTTTTTGCCAGTAGAGAGATTGATTCAAGAGGCAGGTTTATGTGTATAATACAAACATATAATAGCAGAGAAAATCCGAGACTTTCAAAGATTTATTCTGTAAAGTTGTAAAAAATATGTTTTTGTCCGCTTACCTAGCAAGCGCTGGCTAAACCTTACTAGATCAAAATAATGTAAGTACTACGGAACTGTATATCTTAATAAAAAGAGCTACAAAAACTCCTGGTTTATATTTATCTCTTAAGGATAACCCACGGTAACCATTTGTACAAAATTATTGGGTAATTTACGAAGCTATTTGAATAATACAGTATTATTCTTTATCGTCGCCCCGGAGAGTGCCAATAAATATTACATATAAAGATGTTCTGTAGTATAGTCTTATCAGAATAATAGTATAATTAATTAATCCACACTGACACCACATTAGTAGTATTAGTAGCATCTACATTGCATGTGTGCGAAGCCGGGGCGGATCGCTAGTTGAGATATAAATTAAACCCATACTTAAAGTCGTTATTTTAATTGACTTATGTTGTATTGTATTAATAAGGTCATTGGATACAATCACATAAGTTTTATACTGTATGTTTTGCTATCGACCACACATAGAGCTATATATATTACTTTAAGCTAACGAAATAATGAAAGGATCTAACTCTTAAGGATGGGTATATTCTATCCTAAAATAATTTGAAAATCAAAATAGCAGTATTCAACATCAATGAAAACCAAACTGACTGTTGTTCAGGGACCCAATGACAACACTTCTGTGTATAAAACTCTCACACCCTTCCTGCGTGTCACAGTGATGGAAAGCAGGACTCTACTACAATAGAAGTTTTTTTTCATCTTTGTATCCATCTAAGTGTGAGCTGCTAATCTTTTCTTAAGTTTTTCCAGTCTCCATAATCTAGCATTAGGCTAACAGCACACAGTCAATATTATTGTTAATGCAAGATAATGGATAGAAAGAAAAAGTTGTTGCATTGAGTACCTATTGCATTAATTGCATCAACTGGATGAGATAAAAAGCAGAGTAAAATCATTTTAACTAATTGTCAGTACTTTTACTTGAAATATTTTTTTTCTTTACTAACTTATCTAAAGTGAGAGTATATGATTAATAAACCTACTACAATATAATGCTCTGTAGTATTTTACCTTATTGTTCATAATTTGATAACATTTTCTTTGTCGAAATTTGTCGATTGTCGAAAATTGTGAAAAATTGTCGTAGCATATTTAACTTTTTCTTTATATCTCTTCTCTCATGCTATTTGTCTTAAATATTGAGCAACTTATCAAGCACACTAGTTTTACAAGCTTTATCGCGATATGTTTTGCAGGGTGTTTTTCATAATTCTGGATATGTTTTTCATGGTTTCATAAATACTAACACATTGTTTTCTTTTTCGGGAACTAAACCCTCCCACGCCACTGTAACTCATGCAACACACCGAGTTAACATTCCGAAAGTTTCAGGATAAATTAAACTGTCTTAGAGCCATATAATCTCGCCATAGCAACATTTCACATGAAAATGTTTTCGGTAGGATAGATATTGTTCGAAAATAATAAACGTTATCATATATATTTCAGATGATGACTCTATCGCCAAATCAATGCGTGTTGGACCAAAGGGTTACATAGTATATGAACCTTATAAGAAAGATGCTGCCAATATCTATAACATGCTGCTGAGACCAACAGATATTTTTGTCACCAGTTATCAACGATCTGGTTAGAATTGCATAAAATACATAGAGAAAATATTTAATTCTTATAGTTATTTTACGCTCATAACTTTAAATTGATGTTAATTAAAAAAAACATAATTACAATTTTAAATTATTGTATATCAAGTTGAAGGTCATGAAAAAAAGTTCGCAGAATTCATTGGAATATGTTATTCTACGTAGTCCACTCGCACAATCGTTTTAATTGACAAACTAATGTACAAATTTTTTAAGTATATCTATAGACGGGTGACAGATATTTTGTATAAATATTCAAAGAAGGTAAAATATTCTCTTATCTTAAACTGCCAAAAGACTGAATGATCTTATGATGCGAGATGATTTGCGAGAAATACAAATGTGTGAAGTAAGTAGTCCTTACATAAAGGAATCGGAGCTTAAAAATAAATAAGTCCTATAAAAAAAAAAATTAAATAAGGCCTTTAAAATTAATTTTTTGCTTTTAGGAACTACGTTTACTCAAGAACTTGTTTGGCTGTTGGCAAATAATTTAGATTATACCACTGCAGCAGCTATCCCACTTACAAAAAGATATTCGTTTTTGGAGTAAGAACATCTTAATTAATTTGTTCATTTATTACTTACTATTAGACAATGAAAGCGAAAGATGCTCTCAGGTTAATTTCTCTCTCTCTTTCTCTGATACTCTGTCTAAAAGTTTTAGTCTTGTAATAAAATACAACATCACATCGTTATTCATAAAAGGTTTGGTGAAACGGCTTCCAACAGCCAGTTTGAATTACAGGTTGGCACTGACCTCCTCAAACTTATAACTCCCAATCCATCTCTATAAAGAATATCCTCTGCTTTCTATTGATTTTATTTTTTTTCCTATCTTTTACTTCCTAATTTTCTGATCTTGAATTCCCAAAGTACTCGATTTATGGCAACAGACTCATTTAAGAGTATTATGTGAGTGGAACCAAATTATAGTTAGCAAAATGTGAGTGTTTAATGTAGACAGAGATGATTAAACACTCACATTTCGGGAACGCAGATGTAAGTATACGTATTGATGTCAGCATAAAAAGCAAACATAACTCAAATTTTCTGTTTTGCACGCAAACTTCTATGTTTGCGAATGTGACGCAAAACAATGATCTCAAAGTATGCGTCAACGCCGGGCCACGCCCGCGTCGTATTATAACGCGCATTACCAGGTTAACGGTTTACAACATGTGATTGTTCTTTCTGATTCAATAACATCTGAATGTGGCCTTAGTCTCCAGTGCTTATATTATTATTATTATTATTCTATAATGCACTAGCAGATCACAGATCTGATGCGTACTGCACTTGTGTTCATTTTGTTGTTTTTAAATGTTTGTCTAGTCTGTTTTTAAAAATGTTCACTGATCCAGCACTAATTACAATTTCCGGTAAACTATTCCAAATGGTCACCACGCGATTTGGTAGAAAGTGTCTTCTAGGGTTGCTAACAGACGGAGACCTGGTGAGCTTCAATGGGTGTCCTCTCAATCGGGTATTAGAATTCATAATGTAGAGGTTTCCGATGTCTTTCACATTGTAGTGTCCAGTTAATATTTTATATGTTTCAATCAGATCTCCCCGTTGCCTGCGTTGCTCCAGTGTAGTTAAGTCTAGTTCAATAAGGCGTTCCTCATATGACATGTTTTTTAATGATATAACCATTTTTGTAGCCCTCCGTTGTACTTTTTCGAGCATTTCTATGTCTTTCTTGAAGTATGGATTCCATATTTGAAATGTGTACTCCAAGAGCGGGCGGATGTATGTTTTGTAGATCTTTATAAACAAGTCTTTTGTTATGATGTTAAATGCTTTTCTAACCACATACAGCATGGAATTAGCCCTCTTCACTATATTTGTGATATGTACATCCCACTTGAGGTTATGTGTGATGGTTACCCCTAGATCTCTTTGGGAACTTACAGGTTTCAGTTCCACCGAACCAATCTTGTATTTCAACTTCGGGTTGTTGTGGCCCATATGTAAAACGGTACACTTCGTTGCATTTAATGGGATGAGCCAGTCCTGTGTCCACTGTACAATACGATCCAAGTCCTGTTGTATAACGCTATGACTGATGAGGGGGTTTCCCAATATTTTGGTATCGTCAGCAAACACAGATAAGTCTGATCTAATAGCACTTCTGAGGTCAGTAATGAAGATACCAAACAAGACAGGTCCGATCACAGATCCCTGAGGCACTCCTCTGTGTACATTGTGAGCTTCTGATAGTGTGTCCCCAAATCTTACTCTGAATTGTCTATTAGTTAAGAAGTCAGATATCCATTGAAGAAGCTGTCCACGTATTCCGATGTGCTCGAGCTTTGCTGTCAATCTTTTAATGGGAACCCTATCGAAAGCCTTTTCATAGTCCAGGTAAATAGTATCAGTTGGTTGATTGTTATTCCAGTTGCACGTCCACTTGTCAAGGCAAGTAAGAAGATTTGTGACAGTGGATCTCTTAGGAACAAACCCATGTTGTTCTTCCATAATAACATTCTCCATACTGATAAATTGCCTTATTTCTGCTGCTATTATTTTTTCCATAGTTTTACAAGCTATACTTGTAAGGCTGATTGGACGGTAGTTGGCTGCAAGGTATTTGTCACCCTTTTTATATATTGGCGTCACATGAGCTTCCTTCCACTCCTGCGGTAGTTTTCCTGTTTTAAGAGACACATTCATAATATGTGACAGTTGGTGAGAAAGCACATTGCTACATTGCTTTAATACTATTGAAGGCAGAGAATCAGGACCCATTGATGTTGTATCGCTGAATGTTTTGAGGGTTTTGCTAACAATATCTGGGGAAATTGTGATATTTTCAATAGATTTTTCAATGCGTGGCATCTTAATACATGGCATTGATGTGTTTGGTGGTTCCGCAGTATACGACTTTACAAATTGCTTAGCGAACAGGTTGGCCACTGTCTTCTGGTCATTGATTAAATTCTTACCATCGTCCTTCAATGAGGGGGGTACTGACACCGCTGAAGAAAGCTGTTGGCGCACATACGAATAAAAGGCTTTAGGCCCACTATTTACGATTCCTCTTTCGATTATATGTTACTAAAAAGACCATCTCCTCAATCTATCATTAATGTAGGAGCGGAACAGCTGTTAAACTAAAAGCATTGATTTAGCTCAGTTAAATTATAATAGAAAAAGGAATTAAGAGCAATTTTTAAATTAAAAAGATCAATTTGCTCTCAGCAGTTCTGCATTTATAAAACCTTAAGGATTTTATGTGCAAGTACATTGATCCAACGTCCTACCTATTGTTTACCCAGATTCTTTTAGATTTTATATTTTTATGAGAGACGCCTTAAAAGTCGAGTTAATAACGATTGTTATTAATGTTGATAACATCCGATATTTTATAATTTTTCAGTCAATTCTGTCTCATCGACACAAATAAAATAGACGCGATAGTAAAATGTATTGATTCATTACTAGACAAACAAGAACTCAGAAAAATATGTCAAATGTTTGCCGAACCTGTTTCTGGAATGCTTGAGAAGATGCCGGAGTCAACACCTCGCTTTATCAAGACTCACGTTCCAATGTCCTTTTTAAATCCCAATTTGCTAGAGACTGCTAAGATGGTATACATTGCACGCGACCCAAGGGATGTGGCTGTGTCATGTTATCATCACGCTAAACTGTTCAAGTTATATGATCTTCCAGTACCATTCAAAGAGTTTTGGAATTTATTCTACAAACATTTGTGTAAGTAAAGATATTATTTAAAAGTTATTAACATAGGTTTAGCTAATTCATATCCTCTATTAATAGGGGGTGTGTGGTACGGAACAAAAAAGAAAGGGGGTGTGTGTGTGTTAAACTTCCATGAATGCTATTTATATTGGACATGTTCTTCAGAACTTAATCATGGTTATTTTTCTAAAGTAACTTACCTTTTTGAGTACCTACTCAGCTCTTCGTTCTAAGACTACAATCGGTGATGAGTAACGTCGTCCTGACACTTTATAGAAATGGTACAGTACAAAGATGAACAGTACGAGTAAGACCATTATGGAGTAGCTGCCAATAATTTAATTGGTGTCAAATTAATATTAGTCGTACTTAGTACCGATTAGCAACGAATTTATGGGCATTTTAGCCAATATCATGTTATAATTATTTGAATATGTAAACATTAATAATGTAATAATTATTATTTTATATAGGTATAATTAAAATGTAACGTAATTTTCCAGAACATGCATTAAAGGTAATCCCTTAAAAAGAGTATGTTGACAAAAGAAAATTAAACTTGGAACTTACAAAAAGGTTTCATTTTTTAACTATTTTAAAGCGCAACAAAATTTGATCTTTCAGATATATTTTGCCCCATTTTTGAACATGTTAAAGAGGCTTGGGAAAAACGGAATCATCCTAATATGCTATTTTTGTTTTATGAGGAATTTTCTAAGGTATGTAGAACTTTAATAGTTCACAGTTTCGTTTGTCACCGACCACCATACGAAATATAATGCTTACGATTATATTCGGTTTTGTAGTAACGTAACGTAGTTAGTTCTGAATAATTAAGACCTTATGCATCTCTACCAATAGTATAAGGCCATCAAGAGTTTGTCTGTCTGTCCGCCTAAATGCCTGATAGAATATAACTCCGTCACTATTCGACCTAACTATAAAGATCACTCTTTTGATTTATGTATGTACGTCTCTTACTCCAAGTATCCTTCCTTGTCTTTCGCCATTTCATTCGATAAGAGAGACCGTGGGAGAGAGATACTCATAAGCTAGCCATACACGCACAGATCTGCCTGCCGGATCTGTCCGACAGGCAGATCCGTGATTCGCCACACACGAGTACGGGCAGCAGTTCAGATCGTAATGCCAGCAAATACGGTCGTCTGTAAAAATGTCTATTTCAAAGCATAAATTAGCAATAATATGTGGTGGTTTTATTTGTCTCGAAGAAAGAAAACGAAGAAGAGTTTGGGTAAAGCAATGGCTAGAAAAACGGCCGCGATATAGCCAAATGATTCTACTCCAGAGATTTGTCAATCCATGAGCCTGCTGATTTGTTCATTTTTTTAAGAATGGATATATCAGCTTTTGAATACCTTTTAAGTAAAGTGAAACGCTTAATTGAGAAAGAAAATACAGTAATTAGATATGCAGTTAGTCCAAGAGAACGTCTTACAATAACATTACGTTATCTGGCAAGTGGAAACTCGTATGAAGACTTAAAATTTTTAATTTGATATTTAATTCTATTTCGTATGCTTGTGCCTTTAAATCTTTATTAAGGTACAATTGCTTATCTTTGATTTTCCACAAACAAGGCAAAGACTTATAAAGCTCTATAAAACTTGTCCAAAATTCTTTATTTTCACTAAACGCCATTTCTGTGATCAAACTCATGTAGAACCATATAATATGGGGGATCGGTTGAAAAAGTGTCCACCTGTAAATAAGCGCTAGTGTCGGAAAAGGAAATGATATGAATTTAGCAGTTATATAAACACAGATAGTGATTCGATTGTTATAAACTTTTGTAGGTACATTTTTGTTATTTTTTAATAATTTAGGAGATATGCAGTATTTAAAACCTGAACTATTTACGTAGTCAAATGTAATTTAGTGAATATAACCTGTGAATATAAAGTTTTGTAGGTACATTTTTGTTAATTGTAATTAAGTAATTTGTTTTTAAACTAGTGTAGAAGCAATGGGAAAGCTTCTTACCTTCTTTAATCGTATCCTACTCTTATTATCTGTGGCGCTATTTTTAAATTTGCCACCCACCTGCTATTGTGGCGCCATATTAATTTGCTGCCTTTCAGTGGGCACTTTTTAATATACGAGATGTTTCTCCTTACGTCTACCCTCCATACTTCGAGTGTTAGAGCGCGACTCCGTGTCCGTTCTCACCACACACGCACGGATCTGTCTGTCCGCCAGGCACGTCTGTCGGACAGATCCGGCGGGCAGATCTGTGCGTGTATGGCTAGCTATAATGGGCCGTTTGGCTTTACACCGAATAAGTAAGCGAGAGGGCCAACCCCCCCTTCCTCCTAATACCGATAGAGGAACTTAAAGAGCGGTAATACACTTGTGACTCTTTAGTTGCAGGTGTAAATGAGGGGCGGTAGTCCCTTACCCAGTGACCCGTCTGCTGGTTTGCGGGGGGGCAAACGACCATATATCATAAAAAAACAATTAGGCTTAGGTTTTCACAGCACCATGTTAAATATATTTTTTTATAATTAGGATTTGCCCGGATCGATACAGCGCGTAGCAACTTTTTTGGGTAAACAGCTGAGTCAAGAAGAGTCTGACCGTCTATGTAAACATCTCAGTATCGAAAACTTTAAAAACAACAAGTCAATTAATTACGAAGAATTGAGAGAGTTAGGATTGCTCGCACCCGAGGAGAGCTTTGTCAGGAAAGGTATTACTCATTGCTTGTACAGAAAACATACAAAATAAATTTTCTACATACTATTTACAGGCGAACCTAATTAAATCATTATATATTTCATTCAGGCAAGTCGGGAGGTTGGCGCGACTATTTTGATGAGGAAATGACGCAGCAGGCAGAACAATGGATCGCTGATAACCTGCGGGATACGGATCTGCATTATCCACATTCGAGTAACTAATATTTTATTTGTTCAAATATTATTAAATATCAATTATTTTGTAGAGTTTTACTAACTTCAACATGTCGCGTTAATTTGAAAATTTTATAGTAAAATTAATTACTTTGTTTAATAACATAGTTGTTATTTGAATCTTACTAGAATTCTTTTAGATAAAATGCAACAGTGGAGCGCCACTCACACGTGCATAAAATATTTAAAATGTTTTTTCTGCTTTATAGTTCGGTTTGCTATATTAAACAGTTTTATTTACAATCTTATTTCATTGTTTTTTTTTTCAATATACATAATTTATGCATACTTAGGGCATAAAGTATATGCCCTAAGTATCCAACCCAAGTAGTAGTCCAACCCAATCTGAACCCTCCGCAAAGGAAGTCCTTTGCGGAGGGTTCAGATTGGGTTGGACTAAATCTAGTCCACTTTAACCCAAAAAAGACACAGGACCAGATGTTTGTCGTATGACCTCGGTTTGAGAGCACCTCCCTAACTGCCTCGGCCAGTATCGGAATCCTAGGCATCGATATATCGAGCGAAGTCCAGTTTCGGAGTCACTCAGAGGGTAAGGTTAAATTGGCCTCAAAGAAGCTCGGTGTGCTGAACACATCGAGGCAGTATTTCACTCCGGCCCACCGCCTTCAGCTCTATAAGGTGTAAGTCCGGCCGCATATAGAATACTGTTCTCATCTCTATGCAGGGGCCGTCTCAATCTGGACAGCATCAAAGCCCAACGATCTCCGATCGGCTCGATCCCTTGGCGTTACGTAGAGCTTCAGTCTGCATTCTCTATCAGTTATATCATGGAGAGTACTCCGAGGAATTGTTCAAACTAGTACCGGCCGCAACTTTTCGCCTTCGATTCATACGTCACAATTTTCATCCGCTGCGCACTGTGCGCTTATCAAGACCCTTTTTGCCAACAACTAATTTGTGGTACGGGTTATCGTCTGCGGTATTTCCGGACCGATACTATCATCAAACCTTCAAAAAAAGAGCGTAATCCTTCCTGAACGGCCGGCAACGTGTTTGTGACTCCTGAGTTGCAGGCGTTCATAGTAGGCGAAAGTTACTTTCCATCAGGTGACCCGTCTGCTCGTCCGCTCCTGTCGCATAAAAAAAAGTGAACATCATCCGTCCACGATGTGAATTTCACAACTTGTGACAAGAAAAAGACAACAAGCAGAACAATTGAATTACAAACAACCAGCGAGATACCGATCTCCATTTACCACATTTCGAAGAATACCAGAATGGTTCACACAAATAAATGTAATATTATTAAGGGCTAATTAGCTTCTAGTGGTTAGTGAACCAGACTGTTAGGCCAGAGGTCGAGTGATGAGCTCGATCACTTGTGCATTTATCTATAATATGTATGTATTTAGAAATATATAAGTATGTTTATCAGTAGTCCCATGACAATAGTATAGGCTCTACCTAGTTTTTGATCAGACAGCTGTGTGTGAGATGTGAGTTTATTATTATTCTATTTTAATTTTATTTGTCTCATTTTCATTTTTCTGGTTTTAATAATTTGGTAATGAATCGGTAAAGGATATAATGCATTCTTATGCCATATTTTTTTTAAAAGAGATCTCTTTACAAACATAAATGTAACGGACACAAAGAACACCCACACTCAGAACAACAATTTGTGGATCACACAAAGTGGTGTCCCATGTAGGGATCGAACCCACAACACTCAGCGTAGTAGAAAGCGGCGTGGCGACCGCTTAAACCACTACGCTATCCGTGCAGTCCGTGCAGTTTAAATATCGAAGTAGTGATATTCTTGTTGATTTTATTCTGATCCCTTGAAATATTAAGTCATAGTTTACATCGTTGCCCAGTGCAGTCAGAACGTTTTTACCAGCCCTTCCAACCTAAGCGTATCACATAAAATCGACGCACATGCACACGTTTGCAAGATATGCTAGAGTTTAGGTACTGTCAATGATATTATTAAGTAATGATTTAAATCCATACTAATATTATAAATGCGAAAGTGTGTCTGTTTGTCTGTCTGTTACCTCTTCACGCTTAAACCGCTTAACCGATTTAGATGAAATTTGATATAGCTATAGTTTGAGTGTGTTTTTTATGCTAATTAGTTATAGGACATACGATAGTTTTTATCACAGAAATCAATCCTTTATGAGGGTGAAAAGAGGGGGGGGGGGGGGGGGGATTTGTATGGGAAATTAATAACAGACGAACCGATTTTAATGAAATTTGGCATCGAGAGACTTTGATTCTTGACAAAGGCTATTTTTTACACAAAGTTAAAAAAGAATAAAGAATCTCGTACAATCTCTGATCTTTCGTGATCCTGAAATCGTTCGTATAAGTTATTTCCATAATGTGATTATCTACGAGTAGTTGAGTCATTAGGAGTCATGAATAGAAAAAGAATCATATGTTGTATTATACATACACTGTTGTATTTATCTTATCTACATATATAATGCTTAATTAATCGATAATACATCGAACGATTTTCAGGGGGTTCTTATGTTAGGTATCTTTTTGAGCGTGTTTGTAGGCCTGAAACAACCTTCAATAAGTAACTAATAATAATAATATTTTCGGTCATTGATACACAACGCCATTAGTTTCCCACTGAGCAGTATAACTATTTTATAAGTTCAGTTACTTTAAATACTACTTAACAATATTAATAAGTGACAAGTTATTATCATTGTTATGTCAGAATAGGGAATATGCATGTATTTTTTTTATATTTTTAAACGATTCTACTAGTTATTACATTACCAAAAATAAATATAACACATCCGAAATATAAACCGTTAAGCAAAAAAAAATTTATTAAAATCACTATCATTTTGGGGCAATTTGAACACGTTAATTTTGGCGCGCTTTTTTTGTGATGTCAGATTACACTTTCAGACGAATTCGATGTCAACAACGGAGTGAAGTTCACAAAGTTTGTGAAAGTTAAAAAAGTGAGTGATAAAAATTAACTTATTACCATGGAAAAGCCAATAAAAACTTATTATAAATATTGTGCTGTTCTTTTGTGCCCAAATCATATCAAAACTGCACCTGACAAAGTATATTCAGTCATTGTGTTGAGTCTTTCTACACGGGAATTTAATAATTTAACACTGAAAACGTATTAGTTATTAACTTAAAATGAAACAAATAATCACTAGTAACCAAATATTACAAATACACACAACTTGTTGACACTCTTGACAGTGTAGGTTGACGTCACGTATTATTCAACCAATAGCGTTGCGTTTTAGAAATTTGCGAGGGAATCTTAAAAAAGCCAATTTTTGATGATTAAATTTCACTATTAAATTATAATAAATTTCAAAAATAATTGTATGGGTATCTTTTTTTAGCAATAAAAATTACAAATAAAAATATTTTGTCCATTGTGGTGTCACGTGCATATTCCCTATTAAACAGGAGGAATTTGAAGTATATTGAAAGGAAAATGAATGCGATGGAAACTAAGCGATATCGATTACAGGGATGAATTAATAGTCCGTGGACCAGGTAAACTCTCAAACGATAATTGGTGAAACGCTTCAGAAAGTTGCCCCATAAAGTTCCGTTCGGGGGAAAAGCAGCGGTAGATTCCGGAAGACAATTTAAAAAATAACAGCTGGCTGTAGCGTGGTAGAATATACATCGGCTAGTCGGTCGAACTACAAAAACAATTAAACTTTCAGTCATTTCCTCTCAACCAATAATTTACCTGATGATAGCTTCTAAAAAACTATGGATAAATATATATGTCAGCTGGCTGTATCTCGGTGGAAAAACCATCAGCTGATACTTTGAAAGTAATAACGCTGGATTTTGGCGAAGCATCTATCCCTTATTTAAATGCATCAGCTGACGAATTTTTTCTCAACTTACTTCTAGGTGATTGTATTGATCACAGCAGTACTTTAATAATCAATCCTACAAATTTTCACCCGGGAGGAAACGAGTAAGTTATTTTCATCATTTCTAAAGATTGAAGCAACACGCTGCGATAGCATAGAGTGTGGAGAGGTACTATTGGATCATGGATTTAACTAGGTATCCCCTGTAAGTTAAACGCCGCAATGATGGTACTGAGCGAGAGGATCCCAAATCCGATGGCCGTCACTAGGATCACATCTCTGCATTCGGGAATTCTGCCTGTGAGGAACGTCATGTCCACGCTCTGGCCATCGCAGTAGTGGACTCCTTGCGGATTGGAGACAGGTGATCTCTGAAGCATCCTTTTCCAGTGATCACCTGCGTCAGCCGGTATCCCATGTTTTCTCTCGAGTCAATCTTCTGTAGCGGCCTTACCGCCGCAATATTGACGTTCCTGGATCAATCCGCCCCATGATTATATATGATAGATAAAACTATTGCCCGATATGAGAGGTATGGGCATCCTAACATGGGCCCGCGTCTCGAGCGATTCCATTTTTTTTTTCATTGTACATACATTTTATAAAGTAATGGGAACATAATAATCATATATAAGACCTGCAAATTATCAGAATGTTTCCTTTTAGTTTCGATATCTGTTTTTGGCGCCCTCTTAAAAATGCCGCCCTTGTGTGGTGGACGCACTGCATACCCGTACCCAGTGGGCCTAACTCTTTGAGAGTATAAGCATGAATGCATGTATGTTTGTTTGAAATACAAAGGAAAATTTTGCAGATAGAAATGTACGCTAAGAATATAATTGTTGACTATTGGAAAGAATCAGATTCTTCCTCCGAGCCTTTTCCCAAAACTAGGTTGAGGTGGGGTTTAAATCTACTACGATACGGCTGTACTACTATTTTTTACGTGGAGCGACTACTATCAGACGTCCACAACCAAAGTACTAGGTGATATCGAATTTCTGTAGAAAGACTTGTTGGACTTTTTAGGGCTCCAACAGTCTGTTGCCATAGACGTTCGTATGGGAACCGGGACCGATGGCTTAACGTACACTCCGAGGCACGATGGGGTCTCAATATGTTAAGAATGGTCACCCATCC